GTGGGATTCCACCCGTGGTTCGCACTTACAAACGATGAATGGGCATTCCGGGGTGGTGTATTCAGTCGCATTCTCCCCAGACGGCACGCACATCGCCTCGGGATCTTGGGATAAAACGGTTCGATTGTGGGATTCCACCAGTGGTTCCCAACTACATGCCCTCTCTGATGAGAGAATTAGGTTTGATTTTGATTTTGCCGTGGGCTTTTCCGTGGACGGAGATCAAATTGCATGTTCCGACCATAACATCATTCGGCGGTGGGACACTACTAGCGGTGCTCTGCTGGATGCATCCGTGATACCTGGGCCCTGTGCATCCACATCCCACCCAGCTTTCCTCGTTGATTGTGTGCATGGCCGGACTGAGCTATATCTAGCGGTTAATGGGTGGCTCTACTCTCGGGTACATCAGAGACATATTTGTTGGATTCCTGTTGAATTCAGGCGGGCTAAATTTGCCTCACATGGGCATCAAGTGGCCTTGGGGATGGAGGATGGACGAGTTATAATACTCGACTTCAGCGGCGTGGATTCCTACTACCAAAACAGCACATCAAGCACTTTGACATAATTTTATGTTTAACCCATTCGTTGTGCTACATTGTTTTACAAGTTTAAAGTTGGTTTTGCATTTATTGAGGATGTTTGGAAGGCAATAGTTAGGAAAGGGACAATGTCACGTCAGTGCGTCTCAGGAATGTCAGTAGAGGATCAGGGCGGATGATTACCTCTGCCATTTATGAGCACCGATGTTTCTTGATGCGTTGTGATGCACTGTGGCGTAATATATCATTTAGTATGCAATCAGGGAGAGTAGGTTACTAGTCGCCGGCAAAAATTTGGATCTAATGTGGGCCTCACTTGACGGTAATATGGACGAAACACTGATCACAAAAGGTAGCCCAGGAAATCTGCGTCAAGAATTTAGGGAGCTCGAACCTTTGAATGTAATCACCAAATTGTGGTATAACAATCCATCAATTAAGGGCTAGACAAAGACCTTTTGAGATCTTTCCAATTTGTCCACGGTGGAAGATACGAGCCACCCGAATCGAAAGGCGAAAATCGGGTGAATCCACTGATATCACCGGAATTGCTGCCAAGTGGCAATTGGTTGGTTCAGATATTCCGAAAAACAAGGATAAAGCGAGGGAGGACAAAAAAGCAAGCTCTTCCTCGATTGAAGATGTTAATCAAGGTTAAAAAAAAGGAAGGCCGACGGGCCGCCGAAACCCAAACGGGCCAAAATTTTGACCCCACCACCAGATGGAACACTCTGGGATTCATAAAATTACAGCTGCGCTTAGGGCTGCCCACCGTCCCCGGCTTTACGGGTGTGACGGGTTCCGTCAACGGCATGCCGTCCCGTCCCGTGGAGCCTCTGACCGACAAAATTTGCGGGACCGGAATGGGACGGCAAAATAGCCATCAGCTGCCACGATGAGCTCCCCTACCCGCCTCAGGCTTACACAGTCCCACTGTGCAGCGCACTCCTAGAGAGAAGGTCATTCTATGCTCCAGCTCAAAATATATGCGACTGGTTTCGGAGAAAGTAGTTTGATGCTTGTGAAATACGACGGCGGGGTTGCGGCGGGATCGCTGGCGCCATGGCCGTGGGATGGCGGGGGTAACAACGGCGCCAGCAAGCTCTGATGCGAGGCTACGTAAAATCTTACGTTGACGCAGTCACATCAGGTCACGCCCAACCAGCCTCGAAATCTGACTCAATCCAGCGCGAAATCGGATCGAAAATTGTACTGTGTAACACCAATTATCAAATCTGGTTTTTCATGAGGATCTATCGGCGTCTATTTAGTCTACTACCGAGACTTCATATAAGTCGACCGATAGAACGTCTGGACTAGGTTCACTTTACAGATGCAAACTGCACGCCCATACACCGCCGACTAAGGCCACCTCTTCTGGTCGTTCAACGTCTAAGACTACAATTATTCTCAAGTAACAGCTCGAGGTGTAATCTTACCTGCCGATCCTCGAAGCTCAGTCGGTCGTGTAGCGATTATTACGCCGCAAACTTTGCCACGCACAACCCGCGACCCCGTTGCTCCTTTCCACACCTGTAACCTAACCACCTTCTGCTATCGGGCTCCGACGTACTAGCTAGTACTTGCTTAGATAATTTCATACTGAATGGAACCAACAGCAAGATAGAACGGCTGGACTAGCTTCCCTTCCCAGATGCAAACTGCATGCGCATGCGGCGTCGCCGACTGAAGATCACCTCGTCTGGTTGTTCACATTAACAACTCCACGTGTACCGCTCGTGCCTCAAGATTAGCTTAGAGCTCGATCCTCGGAGCTCGATCTCGAGGCCTCGTCAGTCGTATAGCGGTTATTAGGCGGCAAACATCGCCACGCAGTGTCTTAAAAGCTCGCGTTGCTCCTTTCCAACGCCTGCCACCTATCGGACTCCGACGTACTTGTTTAAATCATTTCATACCGAATATTTTCCAATGGAACCAACAGAAAGGTGTGTGTTTGATGGTTCTTCCTCGCTGATGGTATTAATTGCGTCATCTCAACTAGGTTCGAACAGATTGAACTAAACGGTATTCCTCTTTAGACAATTTTGTTCGTTCCAATCCAATATATCAAGTCATTCGTCTACAGGGGCTTCCTCGTGATATCCGCACTTTGTTGAGCAAAGTGTATCTTGAAATGCGTGTGGGCACACAAGTCCATAGAACAACGAGCGCTAGAGGGATGGCGCCACATGCATGGAATGAAAAATTTGCCTTGTAAGCATCTCTTCTAGGTTTTATGTAATCGTGGCTCATGCAATAATTTCACAAGTGATTTGGCTGGTTCTGAGGACCTGTGGGTCGGCCTTTACATGACAAGGCTTTTTGGCCAGCCAATCATGATAAGCAACGTCACCGTACACACCGACCGCGACCCTCGGAACCAGGGTATTTGATACTCATTTTCATCCATTCGGATCAGCTGGGCTTACATGCTCTAGACTTTCGAAAACAGTTTCCTTCTTCAAATAAACAGCGTCCGATGATCGTCATATGCCGGCTGCGAGAACTTGGGGAGGAACTCGATGCACCACGGTCTGGGAGTATGATACACCAGACGTCGCTAGACTCCCAAGTGCAGTGATGTAAAGAAGCTTGTAGTTAGAGACCTGTTTTAAATACATCAGCTCTTCGTACAGTAGCCCATGGCCTGCAGCATGCCCACACCAGTGAGCTCCCCAGGTATTATGTAATGCCCTATTAGGTAGGTTAAGTTGCGGCGATTTAATTAACCTACCTAAGAGGTACGACGTCTACGGGGGATAAGTAATGCTTCTATTACTCATTTAGACTAACGCTGGTGGCGAGCGCCTCCTCCAGAGGTGTCAGAGGCGGAGGTGACTATGGTGCAGTGCCCTGGCCGCCGTTCTTGAGGTGACTCTGGATGGTAGATGTATATAAAGCAATGCGGAGTGGGAAAATAAGTCGACGGTTACGATGGGAAAATAAAATAAAAGGACGCGGGTACAATTTATTTGGACGCGGGGAATCGAACCCCGGACTGCCAGAAACGCGAACACATTTACTATCGCTCCGTACACCACGCCCGATTAACGCACGTCTTCATTCCCGCGTCGTGAAGTGGTCTAATAAACACAAGGCTGAGGTGAGGTGATAGGTGGAAACTCAATCGGACTTGCGGCGATATGCGATATTCACAAGAGCCGTCTACACGTAAATAAGAAATCAGCGTGTGGAGACGTATATCAGCGGCCAGGCCCGAGAACCTACGAAATAAGCCGACGCGGGAGTCGAAGCGTATCATACTGCTTGGATCTGGATGGGTATAAGAGAGCTGGCGGTGTTCTATAAGACGACATTTGAGTATTTGGATTTGGTCCGTCACCGGTTCACTCCTGCGTGAGGGTGTATATTGGATATCGCAACAGGTTGAATCACATCGGTGTGTATTAATATTATGAAGAGGAACAAAACGGAATCAAAATCGAGTCGACTCACTCGGACGCGGGGAGTCGAACCCCGGACTCCCAGCCACTGTCCACTCCGGAAATAGAGTTGTTTCGGGGTGCCCAAAAATGTTTCTGAAATTATTGTAGGGAATAAGTGCCCAAAACCAATGGTTTCAGGAGCATTTTATTGTGTACCGAGACAATTAGTTTCGGGAGCATGCCCGAAACTATTGTTTTCAGGTGCCCGGGCCATACCGTTCCGCGCGGGCCGATAGGTTTCAGGCTGGCTGATACTTTTTGTTTCGGGATCAAGCCCAAAACCTATCATTTCTGGGCAGATAAAACTGCCCCTGAAACTAATGGTGCTTATTCCCTTACTGATACCAAAGAATTTCAGGAACGTTTTTGGGAGTCCCGAAACTACACTATTTCCGGAGTAGTCAGTGTTTAGATCAGAAAGCCACTTCAAACAAGCCGGCGGTGTTCCTACACCACATCCGATTCACTCACCTCTTTATTCCCGCGTGAAGTGGTCGAGTCAACGGAAGGCTGAGCTGAGGTGATAGGTGGAAACTCGATCGGACTTGAAGTTGCGGCGATATGCGATATGCACGAGAGCTGGCTACATGTAAGTAAATAACAAATCAGCGTTGAGACGGATATTAGATCCGAGAGCCTACGAAATAAGTCGAGTCGAGTAAGGAGAAGGCTGAGGTGATGGGTGGAATGAAAACTCAATCGGACTTGAAGTTGCGGCGATATGCGATATGCACGAGAGCTGGCTACACGTAAGTAAATAACAAATCAGCCTGTTGAGACGGATATCAGATGCGAGAACCTACGAAATAAGCCGACGCGGGGAGTTGAAGTGTATCATACTGCTTGGATCTGGATGGATGTATAAGAGTTGTATAGGACGACATTTGATTATGAGAATTTGGTCCGTCACCGGTTCACTCCTGCGCGAGAGTGTGTATTGTAACAGCTTGAATCAGATCAGTGTGTATTATGAAGAGGAACAAAAAAAAAAAAACACCATGGCGACCTACTCGGACGCGGGGAGTCGAACCCCGGACCACCAGAAACGCGAGCACATCACAATGAAGACAGTCTGGCGGTGCTCCGTACACCACATCCGATTCACTCACCTCTTCTTTCCTTCGTGATACTGTCCTCTCGCCCAATAGTGAGTTCAGTGTAATGACAACGAAGAGCGCCCGCGGTGGCTCCCATTCAAGCAGCAAACTATACGGATTCGCCGATGCAGCGCGCGAATTAGACAGGCCCAGAAACGGAGTCAAGGAAGCGCCGGAACGATCCGCGGAACAGAGAAGAAGAAAAAAAAACACCTTAGCGACTTACTCGGACGCGGGGAGTCGAACCCCGGACTGCCAGAAACGCAATCGCATACCCCATGAAGAGAGTCTGGCGGTGCTCCGTACACCACATCCGATTATCTTACCTCTTCATTCCCGCACTCGTGAAGTGGTCGACTAAACGGAAGGCTGAGATGAATCGAAACGAAAGAAAGAGCGTGACAAGCACGCAGACGCAGTCCCATTCATATATACATATCCTTACTTGGGACTGTTGAGAATATTAATAATAATATATTCGAGCTGGCCGTTCATGCATGCATGCGCACCTCAGAATAAGATTATATATTTCTCCTCGGAATTAGAAATTGCACCAATTGCAGAGTTTAGCACGCGCGCCGTCGGCACCGGCGATTCGGTGGCTGATGCTGTTCACCCTTTACCCAAAGAAAGGTTTTATCCAAAGAGCGTTAGCTGTTAACGTTAACAGGTTACGGTTACGGATGGGGTGATCGTTAACAGTTAACAGTACGTACGATGCTGATATAGGGAGGCTAATATAGGGAGGACCTGGACTAGTACTTTACCCCCTTGATCGTGATCTTGATGCGGGGCTGGTCAAAGTCGTAAATATATAGAGTATAAATATACCTTACATTGAAGTGCGAAGTGCGAAGGCAAATATAGCGCGTGTGCGTGGGACGGTGCGGAAGGAGAGAAACACTTGTGTATGCGAGATGTCGGTCGGTCTCAATCGCCTCAATGCCGAGAGGTACCGGGACCGGGACTTGGATAGACGACGACACGCGCGAGAGACACGAGAGACAAGGACGCGTCGACGAGAGACATGAAGGGAAGACGAATCAGATGGATCACGGTAAACACAAAAAAAGAAGTTGGGAAGTTCTGCTGAAGCTGAAGCTGAACGATGGATGGATGGATGGATGGGTGCGCGCGTCAGGCACCGTGCATGGAAGTATACCGTATAGAGAGATTGCAGAGAGATGGGAGATGGGTACCAGCGGCTTGCGAGCGGCAGTCGAGGCGGGCCGAGGCGCGCATGGAACCTCGGCGGCAAGTATGACGCATTATCGACGTCGGTGGCTGCCCGTGGTCGCGACGGGCGCACATGGGCGCACCCACGCGTACGCCGCCCGTGCGCACTCGGGCTTGAGAATGAAAACAAAACTGAAATTGAGATCGTACGACTTGAGGAGATCCACACGAGGTCACATGGGTATCGGTGTCATCGAAGAATTTTTTGGCGATGGCTCTCGAGTCTGGAGTCTGGAGTCTGGCCTCGGGCCCGGCGCGCGTGCGTGCGACTCGGCGACGGCGAGAGTAATATGGAGAGTCCACGCGAGAAATCTGCCAGAGGAGTCACATGGGCAGGTTGACGTGAATTCGAATTCGGAAGAATGCTAGAAGAATGCCAGAAGCTGCCAGAAGAATCATTGCCAGGAAGACACAGACTGAGAAACAGCACGCACGGGGAGAGAGGATCGTACGAGCGCTTGGCGAGCGCCGAATTTTTTGCATGTACCTGAGAGCAGCTTTAACTGAAAACAGACTTGGACGAAGAAGGCGGAGATCACAATAAAACACACACGCACGCGTGTGAAAATTGGGGAAGAAGCCAGGCTGAAGCGGTGGGGTAAGATGGCAACGCCGCAACTGCCGCAACTGTAACAGGGTGGGGTGTGAATTTCGAAGGCGATCTTCAGGCATTCCATCTGTTTGAGAATCGCGCTGTACTTAGCGGGAGTAATGAAAGGCGTCGGGCGTCGTCGGGCATAGAGAGGTATAAGTCTAGGGTGCGCTTCAGTCAAGCGTCGGTGTGGATGTACGGCATCCCCGAACCGCCGACGCACGTTTAGGAGCCGGTGTGCATGCACGCGGAGGTGAAATGGGTGGGCGAGCCTGCACGCGTGGAAGCGAAAGACAAACGCCGTGGCGATCAAATCAGATGGACAGGTCAGCTGATGTTCCTGGGCGGAGTTTGAATTGAAATTTCTGGCGAGACGTCACTTTGTTAATTCACGTCCACGCTGCTGCTATTTCGGTCCTCCTCAAAGGGTTACATTGTATATGGGCGTCGAGTGAGCGAGTGAGAGGTTGGACATAGGAGGCAGGACGAAGGGAGGACAAGGGATAGGAAAGGAGGGGTTAGCGGTGAGCACATAGGATTCATTGGATGGACAGGAGCCTTATTCGCTTTCACAGTGACATCAGTTGACAGCCAGCCCCACGCCAGACTATATAAGTCTGTCGTCCCACTTTTCTTCCTTCCCTCTTCCCCCCATCCTCCTCCCACCACAAAAAAAAAAACTTGACGTCTATTACGATGCGCTTCTTCGTCACTCTCGTCGCCCTCGCCTCCGCCTCGCTCGCCGTCGCCCAGTCCTCAGGCTTGATCAGCTCAGGCTCCGCGGCCAGCGCCGCCTCGAGCGTCGCCTCGAGCAAGAGCTCCGTAGCGAGCAGCAAGAGCGTCGTCGCGTCCAGCGTCAGCGCCGCCATTTCCTCCGGCGCCTCCTCCGGCTCCGCCGCCGCCGCCAGCGCCAGCGCCCTCGCCGCCCTCTCCCCGTGTGCCCTCAACTGCATCGCCGCCGCCGCCAACGCGACCGTGTGTGGTATCCCGTGCGTCCCTCTTCCTTCTCTCTCAGTGTTATTCCGGGGCTCACGCACGCGTTCGCACCACAGCGCAAACGTCACCTGCGTGTGCACCAACGCCGACTTCCAGTTCAAGGCCGGGTCCTGCCTCACGAACGAGTGCCAGGCCGCGGAGATGGGCGCTGCTCTTGGGTTGCAGCAGCAACAGTGTGGTGCTGGTGCGTGTTGTTTTCATTTCGCTCCGTATTCTCTTCTTTTCCTCCGATCGTTCGCTTGATTCTCGTCTCCCCCACGCTATCTATATATTACCTCCGGCGCTAGCTATTCTTGCTCGCCTCCCATCTTTTCCGTGCACTTCTCGTCTACTTTGGCGCCCGCTCTATTCCCGCTCTTTCCCCGTCGGGCATCGCGTTTCGTCCTGGTATTCGCCCACCTATTTCTGTTGTGTTATTAGTAGAGGTGCAAACGTCGTCAACCCTTTCTTTCCACCTCCTGCCGCGTCTTCCTTCCATCTCGAAAGACACCGTCCCTTGCCCCTATCCGTGCGCGCGGGCCTATTCTCCCCTCGCCCTTCTCCTCTTTCCTGTTTACTTCTCTCCCGCTCCCGTCGTTCCTCCCCTTCTCCCCTTCTTTCCCCATCGCCCTTCTCATACCTCAACTAACCTACGCCCCAACAGCCACCCTCTCCGCCACCGCCGCGCCCACCGCCACCGCGCCCTTCACGCCCTCCAACAGCGCGTCTGATATTTCGGCCAGTGCGAGTGCCAGTGGTGCGTTTCTTCTTCTTCTTTGACTCGGTTTTTTTTGGGTCGTTTGGGGTTTTTTTGGGAGGGGATGTTTGAAGAGATCCCAGTTGACACGAACGCCTTTTGTTGGCGGAGCGGCGTCGATAATTTCCGACGTGGACTCGCGTGGAGTTGGTTGCGCGCGCGTCTCCCCTCCCTCCCTCTTTCCCTCATATCTCAACGCTATATTCTTAACAAAACTAACACTCGCCCTCTTCTTTTTCAGCCAAAACCGGCTCGGCCGTCCCCCTCGTCGGCAACGGCGTCTTCGTGGCAGCGGTGGTGGCCGCTCTGGGCGGGGTCGTTGGCGGGTTGTTGATTTGAGCGTAGTTGGTCTGTTCCGTTCTGTTCTGTTGGGATGTGGGCGGGGTGTCGAGAACGAGGGTGGGGAAGAACGGTGGGATGAATAATGTGATGTGATGTGATGTGATGAACCTTGGGATGACGGAGGGCAAGGGGAGAAGGACGAGGACGAGAAAGTACTCTAGCTTGCACGTTTTTTAGTTTTGAGACGGTTCGCATGAATTTGATACCACTTGAACCCTCGGAAACGCATGATGATGAGACGTTATAAGTTTTTTCTTCTATTTAGCTGGCGAAGTGAACCGCAGGGTTGTGTGAGCGAGCAAGCTTGTGGGCATTCCTTTGCTCGGGTGGTGCATAGGAAGGCTACGTATACGGTACTAGTGCTTATCAAGGTCCCCCATTAATATTAATCTGGACGAAACAACCATTATATGTCTCAAGCCTCTACAGTAGATGACTCCGAGTCGGAACTCGAACGTTGAACGTTGAACGCTCGGGCCTGCGTCACACACACTGTTCGCTTAATATTAATCTTGATACATACAGCAAGTCCTTTCTTTCTTGTGCTCAAGCCCAGATACTCATACGATCAGTTTGCATTTTTCCTTTTCGTGCTGAATCCGAGTAGGCTTTTTTTATCTGGTTAAAGTTTTTTTTTAAAAAGGGCGGTTGAATGCGAGATATTTAGTTTTGGTTGGTTGGTTGGATTGCAGACTTGGATCGAGTAATCAAGCTTCGAGGGCGGCGCAAAGCAAAGCAAAGCTGGTTGGCTGGTGGGTGCTGTGCTTCCTCCACGCACTGGCTGGAAGGATTTCTCGATTACGGTACTAGTATTAGTATTACCATGGTATTCCAGTCGTACATACGCGTGCGGCTGCACATCTACGATGAAACTCACCTTTACCTACGGCCGTCTTCAATGACGGGGATCTCGGATAGACGTGAGGTGTGCTCGATATAAAGTGACAGCGGGAGATTCTGCATTGGAATTTGAACCCCGCTGCCGACGGCGTGTGTTGAATTTTCTTTTGGTCGGGCTTTTGTTGCGATTCTCATACTCGCATGTTCAACAACGTATACTGACATTGGCACTGACCGGCAATGTTGTTGGACGGTATATAC